CTACGCGTCTTCAGTCCTCAGTCCTCACGAGACTAAATCCACCTTAATTTTTTTCAGTGTTGTGCGTTTTGTGCCTCCTGCAAATGATAGGGATCGTCAAAAAATTATTCAGAAAGGAAATATTTGTGACATAAAATGGAATTTTGATAGTAAAGTGTCATCACAATGCAGTGTAAAGACGTGTGCCGGCTGTGCGGTGGACAGAGTGGAATTTTAATTAACATATTCAATACAACACCTGAGTGTCTGGCCAAAATTGAAGCTGTAGTGCCAGATGTAGTTGTATGTAAATTTTTGAACACATTTTATTTGTTATTTCTGTAACATTGGATTATTATTCCTCAATACAATACATGTTCCTTTACTACAGATTCTCCGTAATGACAGCTTATCAAAAGTCGTTTGTCATCGGTGTGTAGCCAAAGTAAAAGAGTTTTTTGAGTTTAAATTAACATGCATTCAAACTCAAACAAAATTAAAAAAAGCACTTCCATGGATGTCTTCCAGTATTTTAAATGGAGGCTCGAGCACTCTTCCAAAGGTAAATTTACTATTTGGGAATGTTGTGTTCACAAGTTTGTTTTAATTGTTGTCAATATCTTCCACTTCTACCTACTTTTCTACCCAACTCATTCTTTGTTCCTTATATTTCAGTCTGTAAGTCCAACTGTGACTTACATGGGTGGCCCACTAGCATTTCCGTTTGAGGTCAATAATCCTGTGGTTGAAGTTTTAACGCTCAGTGATGACGAAGACCAAGGGGACACTCCAAAATCATCCATCCCTCCTGCTAGGTTTGTTTTCCAAAATTTAATGTTGTATTTGTTTTTAAAGCTCACTCTCATTCCATTCCATATTGATCTAGAGCTCCTGTGAAACAGCAACAGAGGAGAGTACCCGTCGGCCGAGTTCAGCCATCATCACAGACAACCCCACAACACACTATTCTACCTTCAAACCAGTCTTTCCGGCCTGGAACTTCCAATATGCGCTCTGCTACCCAGATTCCAGCATTGACTTCAAAATCAACATTAGGTGTAACAATATCACCCATCCAGAGGCCATCTTTACCAACTTTGGATGGGCAACAGAGAACTATTCAACAGTCCACAAACACTGCTGTGCAGCCGTCTTCTTCCTCAGCTAGTCGAGGCCACGATTCTAAAACAGGTTCTGTTGTGTATTCTTCTAAGCCTGTAGAGACTTGCAGTGGAATTGTTATAACACCTCTGCCCAGTGAACACAACTTTATTGAAAAGACAAAAGACTCCATTAGCAGTTCTCAAGATTCTATGAATTCTTGTCAAAGTTCATCTGCAGGTACTGCAAAGAATATTAGAAAAACACCATATGAGAAGCCAAAGCCAAAATGCAAGAAACAACCTAAACAACCTTTACCATTGTCTGAGTCAGATGTTAAAAGGATTTGTGATAAGTATGCCCATGTTGACCCTGTCAAAATTAATGAAAAAAGTTTAATTTTCCCCTGTAGGGTATGCAACAAAATTTTAATGACTGAAGAAGCAATATCTACACATACATGTCTAGGTGTTGAAACATATGAGCATACCAAAGATATAACTTATGATCAAGTAAAAAGCAAAGATAGTGGAACCATAATTAATCAGAATGATGATTCCAACCATTCCACCTCTAGTGTTGAAGAGGTGTCGTGTTGTGATGATGGCACTGCTGCTACTATAAAGCTTACTCCAAAGCATCTCTGTAATGTTTGTGGGCTACAATTTCTTAATCTTGGCAGGCTTCAAAAACATCAAATATCATCACATTCAAATAATGCAACTTAAAGACAGTTACATTATTTTAAAAAATAGAATGATTTTATGGAATGTTTTTTTCTCTCCAGAAGGTGTACTGTGGAAGATTTATAAGTATTATTTATCTAGGTTTTTCGTATCTTCATTTTATAACTCTTTGCCTTGTAGCAAAGTCTACTCTGGGAAAGTAGGGATATGTATTGAACAGTTAACAGTTATATCATTTTGTTTCTGCTTATCCCTATCATTTACTTTGATCTGTTTGAATGATGAAGATGCCTCATGACCTAGATGTATTGGTATTATGTTGTAACGACACGTGAGCTAAACATGTAAAATTCATTTTACTTTCATATTTATATTCAAGCACGTATTAAAAGACTTATTAGGTTTATATAGTTATTTTTATTCAGTTTTGGTTTATTCTTATATTATGTCATGTTAAGAATAAGTACTGTTTGTACCAATTAATTGAAATGTTTGAAGGTTCATATACATTACTATAATGTTAACTCTTTCTTGTATAAATATATTTTTAGTAGAAATTTTTTTAAAGAATCCTGTCCTCATTTGTTTTGGTATCTCTTCTTTACATCCTTATCACTGCTTGGAGCTTTTGAATTTTTTCCCGCCCGCGCTGAGACAAAAGCACGACGCACATACCCACACTGCCAAAATAGCGACGGCTAACGAGGCGGCGATTTTTAGTTGATAAAATTACAAATCACCTCAGTATGGCAAGAGAAAAGACAGACTCCCAATGAAAGCTTGATGGAAGCATTTATCCTAAAACGTATTTACAAAACTTTCCCTAATTTCAAAGCTGTATAGTTCGTTTTTGTGCTTGGACAGTACCCGTGTTTACATGACTCATGACTCATTTATTCAACACTTCCAGTTTGTGAACAGATGAGACAGCTCCAAATTCCTTCAAGGCTTAAGAAAATATGGACTTTGCCCTTCGTGTGACTTTTAGATAAACTGACGTCTTTTCTTCTTGTCGGTCTTTTACCTCGCATAAGCAGACAGCAGTAGACAGGTTGTCTGCTAGCAGGTGGTTGTAGTCAGCCGAGGACCGATAGGGAATTATAAAAAGTTCCAAGTAAGTTTCTTCAAAAAACTGCGTTTTAAAAGTTGCTGCTGAGTTGATAGGTTGATATTACAGGTATTTTCGTTTGGTTTTAATGTAATGCTGATCTTTGCCAATCGCTGTCCATTTCAGGAAAATGGAAGCTGATCCTGGTCAGGTTAAAGCTACTGTCACTGAAGTGACAATTGAGGTTCCTTGGGGCCACATTTCTGGCAAGTAGTACAGTACTGAACCTTTAGCTAGCATACATTAACATTAGTTGTTAATATATTCTGATCCTTTGTATTTTCAGGAAAAGTATGGGGTCCATTGACCGGATCACCAGTATTGTGTGTCCATGGTACTCAAGATAATGCAAATTCATTTGATAAGCTCATTCCATTGCTACCCACGTCATTTTCCTATGTAGCCATTGACTTACCAGGTTGTGGTCGTTCATCCCATTTCCCACCTGGTTTTATATTTTCTATCACTGAGTATTGCATGTCTATGAATCGGGTGGTAAATTATTTTGGTTGGAAAAAATTTATCTATATGGGTCATAGTCTAGGTGGGCAAATAGGGTATCTTTATGCTGCATTTTATCCTCAAGAAGTTTCAAAGCTTGTTATTCTTGATGCAATTATGGCTCACCGGAGAAAGGGGTCTCATCTTGCGGACTTAATTCCAAACCAATATACAAAGTTGCAAGCATTAGAGAAGAAACTGCTCTCTAATTCACCTCCGTCTTACAGTGAAGATGAGGCGGTGATGCGACTCAGTGAGGGACGCCCCTTTCCTCTCACACGAGAAGCTGCAAAGGCCCTATTTTCTAGAGGAGTAGTGAAAAATGGGGACGGTTATTATTTTGTTTATGACCAAAGAATGAAACTCAAGATACCCTTTCATTATTCAAAAGATGAAGTTTTGTCTGTGATGAGGAGGATTCAATGCCCATTGTTCCTCCTTCGTGCTTCTGAAACTGATAAATACTTAGCTCATATCACGAGGGATTTTGAAAAATTATTGAAAACATCTCTTCGGTCAAAATACAATTACCTGCTTGTAGAAGGATCTCATGATGTTCATTTACTCCACCCTGAAAGATTTTCTAAGAAATTGATTGATTTTCTTACTAGGGTGCAGTCAGCTTTATAGCAAATTTTGTTTTCAAATTTGTGTCAATGACATTTTCTTTGACTATTCAGAGAAACTGTACCTGAAAACTACAGTTTGTCTTTTGTTGCTCAAGCTTCATAACATCATCGTTAAATGTACTTAAATGGGATTGGTTTTATATAAGGGGAAGAAAAAGATAATTCAATTGTTCCTCTGGACCAAATGAATAAAATAATGTAATCAGTATTATAGCAACACACTATTACATGACCAATGTGGGCAATTTTGTATTATATTTTTATGCAAGTGCGAATTTTAAGCAAACGGCTTAAAAAAATCTATTTTGATAAATACAGTTCAATGCATCTCAGCTAATGTTTCTGCTTGAATTTATAACAACCCTCATACACCAGTACTCACTTATTATTACATGGTATTCTCAAACTAAATTTCATACAATATTAGAATACATTTCCTGACCTATTTTTGTTGAGTAAACACTTCAGTTGATGGTTTAATATCAAGTAAACCGGACCAAAAGAGGCATTTCAAAGTAATCTCTGTGCCAGCGAGCACATCAAGAGAGAATAATATTGCTGCCTGATCATAATGAGAATCTTGACAAGAAGTTGATATTGGTCTCATTCCTGGACGCAATACCAAGTTAAATGAGTACAGAATGCCTGCAACTGTGCCAGAATCAGTTGTAGTAACTGATATCTCCTCTAAGTTTTTCTCACAAATAGAATCAACTCTCATTTGAAAAATCTCAAAACAATCGGACAGAGGCTTACAATGCAGTCCTTGTCTTGACGTGTGCAAATGATAGTCAACCTACAAAATAAATTAATACAGACATTAGGCATTAGTACTTAAGGAGAATATATTTCAAAACCACAATACTCACAGCGAATTTGTTCATGAATTCAGTTATATTAAAATTTTGCATGCTCTCATCTGATTTAACTTGAGACTGTGAGACTAGCTTGTCACTATCCACCAATTGACATTCAAATGACAGTGAATGAGGTACCATGTATCCATTTGCTGAAAGTCTGTTCCTATTCAGGAAAAAACAAATTTTAAAAGTTTTCTCCTCCCCAAATAGTGATAATAAGAAAGTAAAATCCTTCACTTACAGTAAAAAGGGGATTCTTTCTAAACTGAGCTCTGAAAGCTCACCAGATGGGTCCACAATGTCAATACAGATAACATTAAAGTAGTCATCTGCTATTTTCTCTTCTAAAATCTCACTTCTTACAAATTGAATTTGCCTCTCCTCAATAGAATTATTTCTTGCAACTGCTCGAATGTACTCCTCATCCATCTGTGTCTCACAATTTGCCACGAGGTTCCAGTTCTTAAAGTCTTTCAGAATTCTTAATCCAAGTATAGGAAATGGACTAAGGTCCAGGATTTTATGGTTCGAACTTGAGTCTAGGTTAAAATCTCGAAGCAGGCCAATAGCTGCTGTATTCAATGCTTTCATCCAGGTCTTATTGTTCAGGAATGATATTATCTTCTCCGATACCAAAAGCAGATGGTCGGGGCTTACATCTTGTCCAGCAGCAAATCCAAGATCTGTTATTTCAAAAACATCCTTGTTTATTTGTAGTTGAAGGTTTATTTCATTCCCAGGACAAACTTTTCTTGGACATGGCATGGGAAATATGGCCTGATGCCAACAAACACTATGATAAAGACCCTCTTCTTTGAAAGGTGCGGTGGAAATAACAGTTCCATTATTGTCCAAGTTGAGATGAAACCAGGAGGCTATGGCATCAACAGATCCATTAGTGTTAATCAAGATAGGAGCATTCCTCAGTCTCCCTTGGTTAAAGGATTTCAATTCCTCTATACTGTTAAAATTTATTTCAAAAACCTTGACTGGTTTTGATAAAAGTTCATAGCCAAAAGCAACATTTTCCAAATCTTCAGTGGTGTATGGCTCAGATAAAACCGAGGCAACGGAAACTCCATTAAGATGATACAGAATATCTTCCGGCTCAAATTTGCGAGGGGCTTCACAAAACTTGCAAAGCTCAATTTTACCATAGTGAAAACTCAAAGGTGTATTTTCATCAGAGCAACAAAGACAAACATTTGGTAGCAAGCGATGCCTAGAAGAAAGCAATTTTAAGAATAATTTCAGAGATAGTTACTGTAGTTAAGATGAATTTATACAGCCACCAACCTCCTGGCAATATTTATGCACTGAATAGCAGCAACCCATACAGTTGCACTATACGGTAGAACGATGCCGCCTTTATTTTTTGAGGGTTCCTTACAATTTGATGTAACTTCTGTAGGTGGGATCAAAAGATTTTCCCAAGCATGTAAAAGCATTGGCAAAACACCCTCACCAACAAGACCAGCATCAAACACTTCAGTGATTATCATTGAAACCCTGGACACAAAAAGAAAGCAAAATATTATTTCAAAAGTACTGCCATAAGAATGTGTGGAATTGATTTCTGAGCTTTTAAACATATTACTTCTCGGAAATATCCGATGGAATGGAAATGTAACTTGAGTGCTTGTTGATTAGATTTATCCGGTGAGAAACATTGTTAGCTGCAAGGACAGACTGAGCAATTTTAAATATGAATTTGTTTGACTCACAAGCCCAAATGTTCTCTGCCCCTCCTACAGCTGCAAAGATACTAAAAACATAACAAAGAAATCAGTTGAAGGCATCTGCTTGCAATATTAACATTACTGAATGGATGAATTATAGAACATTACCTTAGCAGGCCTGTGCCTGTACCTACATCAAGAACCGTAGAATAACCCTCATGCAGACGATGAAGTATAGCTTTGTGATAGGCACCATTTCTTTCGCCATCATTCAGCATTCTAAAGTGCCATCTTTCAACATGTTTATTATAAATCGATTGAATAGCTCTTGAGGCTGGTAACAAACTAGGGCAGGCTTGAAGTGCTTTCTGATAATAATCAAGTGATTGTTCTGTGTCATCCAGCCTGTGAAAATTTTGCAATTAAAAGACTGAATAAATGAAATTTGTACATTTTATTTCATCTAAGAATGTGCATAATATTCTCTGGATAAATTTATCATTGTTATACAACACCTCATCTGATAGGATATTGATAAAGACAGTCAGCAACAAAATAGAAATACTCAGAAAGCTACATTCATTGAACTTCTATGCTTCTTTTCTAAAGAAATTCCCTCTATAACAGAGGAGGGACAAATCTTTGATGTAAGACTATAATGCCATGAGTCAATAAAAGGGACAATCTCAAATTCAAGACAGCTTGGTACAGTGAATGAGAATAAGTTCACCACACCCATTTCAGGTACTTTAAATTTGGCAAAAACTTCAAACTGAATGAGTTCATCTAATGACAAATCCGACTGAAATGAATATACAACTGGATAACCTAGACAAAGTCCAATCATTGTAGATCCATTTATATCCTCGGTTGGCTGAACAATAAGTTCTGTTGAGTTTTGGTGATAATGCTCAAAACAATCGTCCATCAGTGCAACAAGTTTTATGACAAGATCACTTTTATGAGGCAGAATTCTAGGAATAGAATCCAACACACCAACCAGACAGAAACTGGGAGGAACAAATTTCACAAATTCATGTAACTTCTCAACATTAACAAACAAAGTTTCTTGACCTCCAATATTAAGGACACAAACTGTTTGCATAATGAGACCTTTCTCCTTTAAGACAACTAGCAGGGCCTTAGACTCTTCTAAGGACAGAAAGGGATAACGGTCATTCAAAAATCCAATTCTCAACCCATCGCTGACAGACATTAAGTTTGCAATGAAGTATTTGAAGCATCTCCTTTTTTTGCTTCCAGGGATAAACCCTTTTAAGATTTCCAGCCACAAGGAAATTTGAAAAGACATTCTGAATTACCAGTAACTTGACAGCTGATGAAGACAAATTATAACAATATCACCAAACAAAGCCAAGAAAACCTTTTTCTAATTTTTAAATTATCAAAAGTTCACAAGATGAAATTTACATACTTAAAGTAAGTTGAACCAAGATCCATTAACATAATTTCATCGTCAGGGTAGAAAAGAAGGGCATCTTTTCTAAGGGATATAGTTTCATGCAATCTCCCTTTACATGCTAGCTCTTGACAGCCGAAACCTACAATATAATAAAAATAAAGAATTCAACAGATATTTTTAAGGGATAACTGATGATATGTTATATTACGCGTACTTAAAGATTGCCAAAACACATTACGTAGCTCTTCTCGCCATTCTGGAATGAGCCGTAGAGCAACAAAGAGATGAGCTAATGCCCTTCCGTAATTAAATTTCCTTATATATAGAATTGCCTGATTTCGAGAATAACACGCAACTTCAATTTCTTGAGCAGAATGATTATTTAAATTGACTTCTTTTGCAGTGAGACTTTTAAAATCCAAATTACCATCCTTAGCCATGCTAAGGATATGAAGAATAGAGAAAATGCTGAAAAAGAAAAAATCACATTCTGTAAGAGATTATTCAACATTTTCAAACACTTTTATAATAATTAGCTACAATCCAAAAACTACTTACAATTGGGTGGTCCCTCAAAAAGATGTTGTAATATAATAATACTTTACAAAGATTTTGCCACGTTCTTCATTTTCAATGATCATATCTTGCGATTTTTCATTCAATTTTTCCCAAAAGAAATGTCACTTGACATTTTACGATAACTACTAAACTACTAATCCCTTCTCCACTTCCACGCGAAAAGTGAGGTTCTGTTGTTGTTGTTTTGGGTTTCAGTTGGAGCAACAGCTTCTGCCATCTAGCGGCTAAAGAGGGAAGCGACCAACCGTTTTTGTTTGCTGTTTTTTTTGTTGGCCAGCCTGTTCTAGCAGAAGGAAACCCCGTGAACCTAACCTGCAGGGGAAGCACTGATGTAACTAATGTTTGATTTGATTGATTGATCATCACATCATAGAACATAATTCATGTAAGTTCGAACAATTAATAAGGAGAGTGGTTTTGATTGAAATGTCTCGCGGAATCCTACGTTTTATTTCGTTCGATTTGGTTGTACTTGGCTTTTATCTCTCGACCAAGTTCTAACCGACTGATGCAATTTTAACCAAGGTGGATATTTTAACTCGTTCGGCTCGGCAATGGCACTGCGGTCTACTTTGTAAGCCTCTCGTTTGCGGTATAGGAAACTTGATTTTCGATAGAGGTTGAGTGATCTTACTCCCATTTTGTTAGGGCTGCGAGTCCTTGTGGTAGTTGGCACGCTACTTTTGACGTAAAATATTTTTCTACAGAAAGAAAAATCAAAATAATTTTTCATCTAATTCATCATAGCTTTGGAGGTTGTTTTCATTTACTCAATATTTTAAAATCCCACTGTCTGTAATTGGATGTCAGCTTATAATAGATATGTGCAAACATTTCTTCCAGGCTGTGGTGGAACATTTTTCATCTGGAAATAAAAACCTCTACAAAGCTATGTGGCGACTTAAGCCCTTGTCAAGCTCAATTCAGCTGTCCTCAGCACTTCCCTCCAAATGTCAAATTCCACAGTCCCCTATTCTAAATAAACTAAGAGGCACTTCGCTAAGTCCAAAGCAACTTGTATGTCATCTATGGAGTGGAACGAAGATTTACCAGGCAGGCTTACCTGAAGCTAATCTGAAGATCGATAGTTCTTTTCGAGAGGGACAAGAAATAGAGGGCTTTACTGTAACTGAAGTAAGTGCTTGATTATTCTCAGATATTTTTTGGACTTATTTGACCATTGAGGGTTGGATACACAACTTCTCTTGCACCTTACACATTTACTAGGTATACATTTTACTCAGAAAATAACTTTTCAAAAGAAGTGGGAAACTGGGTGTATCTCTATTTCACCTCTTTCCATTTTTCTTTCTTTGAAACCAAGTTCAATGTACATCTTGTAATTGTGTAAATGCTATAAAACTTTGGAATTTATTCATAATCTTATAAGTCTTTATGTTCTTGCACTAATTTTTAATTTTTTGAAAACCAGGTTGGTCATATTCCTGAATATCATCTCACAGCAATTCAACTTATTCACAAGGATACTGGTGCCAAATATCTGCACGTAGACAGGAAAGATACAAACAATGTCTTTTCCATTAATCTTAGGACAACGCCTATGGATTCCACTGGTAAGTATCACATTTGAATCTCTTTCTTCCTGCAATATTTAATCATTTATTTTCATTATTACACTATCATTTTAGGTCTCCCGCATATTTTGGAGCACACTACATTGTGTGGGAGTGAAAAGTTCCCAGTAAGGGATCCTTTCTTTAAGATGTTGGTGCGCTCCTTGGCCACGTTCATGAATGCCATGACTGGTCCTGATTATACGATTTATCCTTTTGCTACCCAAAATAAGCAGGATTACTTTAATCTAATGTCAGTTTATTTGGATGCTGTCTTCAGGTGGGGTGATGATTACTTTATTTTATGTGTCTCTTAATTATCAATATGTCCCAACCTATTTAACTTTTTTTTTAAATGCAGGCCAAAGCTTTCAGAATTAGACTTTAAACAGGAAGGTTGGCGCCTAGAGCATGAAGATGTTAATGACCGAAGTTCACCTATAGTCCTGAAAGGAGTTGTGTTTAATGAAATGAAGGGTGTTCTCTCTGATAATTCAAACATATTCATGGAGCGCTTTATGAATTCTATTCTTCCAAGTCACACATATGCCGTTAACTCAGGTGGAGATCCCTTGGTTATTCCAAATTTAACTCATGACGACTTAGTTAAATTTCATAGAAATTACTACCGACCAGAAAATGCAAGATTATACTCCTATGGTACATTTCCTCTCCAAGACAATTTGAAGTTCCTTAGTTCTTACCTCGTTAAACACCAAGAAGGTATATATAGTCAGTCAGTCCATTTTACTGATTTGTACATATACTCAACTTCCTTTTAACCTAATCTATCTATCTATCTTTGACAGCTGGAGTCACTGATACCTCAGTGCCTCTTGAACCCAGATGGAGTTCTGAACGACGAGAACACTATTCATATAGACCTGATGCTTTAGCTGCAGATCCCCAGAAACAATCCTCTCTTGCTGTTGGTTGGCTTACTGCAGATATAAAAAATGTCCAAGAGAATTTTGAACTGGAGGTATGCTTGGATGACTTTGATAACTCTTGTCACTATTACCCCCTACTATTTGTATGTATAAACTTGCATATTTTTTTTTTTTTTTTTTGTTGTTTTTGTCAATCCTTTAGATCATTACAGAATTGCTTGTAAAAGGACCAAATTCACCATTTTACAAAACCCTTGTGGAGCCAAATATTGGAGCTGGTCTTCATCCCATCACAGGCTTTACAAGCCAAACTCGAGATACTATTTTTGCTGTCGGTTTGCAAGGCATGGACTCTACTGATTTTGACAGAGTCGTGAATATAATAGATAACACAGTGAGTACATTTTTGTTTGTACTGTATCTCGCAGTAAACTGTGAACCGCCAACCTTATAATTTCCATGTTTTTAATTTCAAGCTTGCTGATGTGGTTAAAAATGGTTTTGAAAAAGAAAGAGTTGAGGAAGTTCTCCATAGTATTGAGCTAAGTATGAGACATCAGTCATCTAACTTTGGATTAAGTGTGCTCTTTGGCTTAGCACCTTTGTGGAATCATGATGTGAACATTTTCGATGCTTTAAGACAAGCAGATCAAATATCCAAACTTAGATCAAATTTGAAAAAATCTCCTTCATATCTTCAGGTTTTTATCTCCTTTATATACATCTTATCATAAATAGTTTTACCATTCAAATCTGACTTCTTGGCTTTATTTTAGGACAAGGTCAAAGAATATTTAGTGGATAATTCACATCGTCTTATACTTTCTATGTCACCTGACAATGATTATGTGGAAAAGCTAAGTAAGACTGAAGGAGAAATTCTTGCTAATAAAGTGAAGTCTTTGTCTGATGATGAAAAAGAACTGGTAAGTAGAATATTCATACTGGAGCAGCACGGGATGAATTTTGAGAAATTAAGTGAGAAGCCTAACAGAGATTAATAATATGTATCAATCCCTTTGTTCTCATAGATTTATAAACAAGGTCTTCTGTTGAAAGCGACTCAAGAAAAGAAGGATGATCTGTCATTGCTTCCTACTCTGCATATAAGTGATGTGAAGGATGACGTGGAACGTCATACCCTACAGCTAATTAATTTCAAAAATGTGCCTATTCAATTTGCTGCACAACCAACTAATGGTATCACATATTTCCGGGCAGTGCTGAACACATCTCACCTAACAGAGGAAGAAAAGAATCTTTTCTCAGTTTTCTGTAGTGTTGCAGCTAAAATGGGTACTAAAGATCATGACTTTCATGAATTTGATCATTTGGTAGGTTTAACAAAGTTTCTTTGATGGAATTTTATTCATAAATAGAAATATATTGATTTCAATGTTAATTCTTGTCTTTTTCCTGTCTTTTTTCTCCAGGTTCAAATGAAAACAGGAGGTCTTAGTGTTGGTGTTCAAAGTGTAAACCATACATCAGACATGTTTGCATATGAAGAAGGCCTCATGTTAGGTTCCTATTGCTTAGAGCGTAACTTTGGTGCAATGCTTGATCTTTGGGGAAAACTTTTGAACTCTGTTACATTTCAAAACAAAGGCCGATTAGAAACCCTAGTTAATGATATGGCTTCAGACCTAGTAAATGGCCTTATTCATTCAGGTCATCGGTATGCCATGCTAAGTGCTGGTAGTCAAATCAGTCCTTTAGCCCAATATCAAGAGGTAGCTGGAGGTGTCACACATATAAATATAATGAAAAAACTAGCTGGTTCAGATGTGGAACCCCTTCTTTCTCAAATGGTGCAGATTGCTCAGAAAACTTTTGTGAAGGATAATCTTAGAGTGGCTGTAAATTGCATGCCTGAAATTTTGAAAGAGACAGAATCTAAACTCACTTCTTTCTTAGAATCTCTTCCAGGATGTGCTAACTCACAGCCGAAAATCTGGACAAAGAAAGAAGCAACAAATGTGACTAATGAACCAGGAATCCATCATGTTCTTCCCTTTTCAGTGAATTTTGCAGCAAAGTCAGTTTTAACTGTTCCATACATCCATCCAGATCATGCTGTACTTCAAGTTCTTAGTAAACTGCTTTCTTCAAAATATTTGCATCCCAACATTAGAGAGAAAGGTGGAGCTTATGGCTCTGGAGTGGGTGTAAATCAGTCTGGACTTTTAAACTTTTTTTCTTACCGTGATCCTAACACATCAGCAACTTTTGACATTTTTGACAACTCTTATAGCTGGGTTGTGAAAAACGAATTCACAGATAAAGAAATAGATGAGTCTAAGCTTGGAATATTCCAGAGTCTTGATGCTCCAGTTGCACCTGGTTCAAGGGGTAATCTTGCATTTGTTAATCATGTCTCCTACGATATGTTCCAAAATTATAGGTTGCAAGTTAAAAATGTGTCTCGAGATAGTATTTTGGAAGTTGCATCAAAGTATTTAAATCCAGAAAGTAAATCCATAACAGCTCGCACTCTCATAGGGCCTGAAAATAAGGATGTTATTTCTCGCTCTGGTGAGTTCTGGAAGACAATATCGTACTAACAAATTATTCCTCAACTGCTATGTTATTAAAAAAAATTCTCATTACTTGTAAACATATTTTAAAATTATCAACTGTTAAATTGTTGTATTTTCAATAAATACCACTGTATCAATATGATTACATGATTTAACCCAATACCCTTCTTGACCTACCAAGTCGCCAAGTGTCATTGTGAACATAAGTGGTGGTGTGGTGACAGAAAATTAAGTTGCTTGTTGATTTTTTCCCTCTCTGCAGACACCTTGGAATGGCTACATATTTACCAGCTGGGATTGTGAAAAGAAAAGAATACTTTCACATGGCTCTACGATTTCTAGTACGCTATGAATGGCTGTACAATTTTCCTGTAACAGAGATTTTATCGAGCGGCTTACTAGATCAACTACCGTACGAATGGTGGCAGGTATTGCAAAATCTCACTGTGGAGGAACTCAACGGAATACCACGAGGGGTACGTGCGCCTTGCGATGGGGATGAGATTAACGTGGCAGCATACTTGTTTCTTCATCTCTACAAAAAAAATTATCGATTCAGGAATTCAAGGATTCTTGGCCCATTTCACTGAAACAATTTATCGTCACGGCCTTGCGGCTCCGCCTGCCGATCGCCGACCAGCCTGTACCCCCGGGAGCGCCCATACCAGGCAGGCTGAGGCACGCCCTAGTCAGGGGCATGTCCCCCAAGAAGATGCACGAGGTGACCCGCCTGGCTGGAGTCGTGGCCGACATCTGCGCTCGCGCCAAGATCGGCTGCATCGTGGACATGGGCTGCGGGCTGGTGAGTTAGTTGTGTCGTGACGTCGGCCGTCTCCCGCGAGAAACGTCCCGCTTTACTCAGGTGCTGCTGCTATGCTGTAGGGGTACCTGTGCGAAGTGCTGCACTTCGTGTTTGGCTTCCGCGTGGTCGGTCTGGAGTCCGATCCAGCCAAAGTTGCGAGGGCCAAGGAGCGTCACGCCAACACCTGCCGCATGCTGCGCGTTCAGGACGAGAGCGGCGTCCGATACGTCGAGTGTGATGTGACGGACAACACGGAGCCCGTGGTGCGGGCGCTGAGCCAGGTAGGTGGCGTGTTGGAGGGGTAGGGGGTAATCCACATCAGAACCATGACGAGCTTGTACTCTGCCCCAGGAGCTGGACGCAAACGGGCAGCCGGCACCCTTCTGCCTGGTGGGCCTGCATTCGTGCGGGGACCTGACACCCCACGCCGTGCACCTGTTCCACCGCATCGAGCAGATCACCCAGTTCGTGCTGGTGACGTGCTGCTACCACAAGATGGAGGTGGACCAAAGCGCGGCTGCCGCGGCCGCGTGCGTCTCCACCGCGGAGTCCGCTAGCCAGGCGGCGCTGGCAGAGCAGAGTCGGCGGGCGGACCCCGGGGCGGACCGCGACCGCGAGCGCAAGGCAAGGCTGGTGCTGCAGTGGCTGCTGCGGTGGGGACGCCCGGGGGACGCGGGGGCGAGCCCCCTGCAGGAGAAGCCGACCCCGCAGGACCCGCAGGACCCGCTGCACGCGTCAGACGTGTACAGCGACGAGACGCAGCGCGCAGGCCTGAGTTCCATGCTGGTCGAGTGGCTCGGCCCGCGCGGGACCCTGCTGACCCCGCGGAGGCCCCCCGCTCCGGAGCACTTCTTTAAGTTCCCCCTGAGCCAGGAGCTGCGCGCGCTGGCTCGGTGCGGGGCCAAGCGCCTACAGCCCGCGACGCTCGGGCCCGAGAACCGGCGCCGCAGCGCGTCCGCGGGCAGGAGCCTGACCAGGTCCATCACCAGGGCGTGCCCCAGGCTCTCGGGCTGCTGCACGTCCAGGACGAGGAAGCGGTGTGGGGGCCAAGCTCGAAGCTGCTCCGTGGACAGCGCGCCCGACGGCGGCGCTGTGGACGACCCCTCCGGTCACTGCGCCCAAGGCGACGGGCCCGTTGACGCCCGCGCGGAGTGCGCCCGAGGCCCGGGAGACGCTTCCGCCGAGGACGCCGTCGGCGCCGCTCACTGGTTCGGACCCGCGGGGCTGTGGGGCTGCCAGTTCCTGCGGAGGCCGTTTCTGCGTCTGGCCTCCAACGAGACGGTGGTGAGCTGGGAGTGCAGGCCCGGGCCCGTGCACACCACCAACAGCATCCACATGATGACCAGGGCCGTGTTCCAGCTGTACGCTGCTTCGAGTGAGTATTCCTCCAGCATTCCCCGGGACAATGCAGGTGTTGGTTACTTTCTGCAGAGGGCGTCGGTGCGGTCTAGCCTGCCCACAACGGGCTTAGAAAAGCGCCAGGAAGGCGCCTTCAAATAGATCGAATGATTACGATACTGACCTTGGAAATGGGCCCATTCTTCTTGTCGTTGTATCTGGCGGCTGGTCACCCCGTCAGCCCCGCTAGATTGTGATCGCCCAGAAAGTACGCCCGTTTTCCTCATGTTCATTCGGCTAATGACGGGAGCTGGGCGCCTGCGAGACCCAGGGTAGGCCAACCCGCAGCACACGCGTGCACCGACGGCAAGATGTTGCCTACCTATCAGGCGCTCGGAGAGCTTGCCGAGGCTGAACTTTGGCAGGTTCGTTCGTACCGGCGCTTGACGGACGTACTTTCTGGATGATCCCTAAGGTGTCGTTGTCAGAAACGATGAGCAGACCCATGCGTGCGCACGGTGAAACGGTACAGTACAACAACGTAGTTGTACACGGAGGAGGCGAGTCAGCCACCTGGTTCGTGTGAGTCGACGCATTGGGCAGTGTGAGGGGGCTACGAGTGGGTTAGCGGTGCTGACGATAACGCTCCGTGCTGTGCTGCCCGCAGACAACCTCACCCTGGCGCAGCGCGGCGCGTGCCTGCTCCACAACATGCAGCTCGGGATGAGCTCGCGCGAGATCCTGGCCGACATCGTGGACCGCCTGCTGCCGTCGCTGTCGGAGGAGGAGCGCGCGCGCCACAAGAAGTCACTCGCGTTCCTGTACGCGGCTCTGGACCCGATGCGCCCCTTGCTCGAGGCGATCATCGGGCTGCAGGTGGCCCTGCAGCACGTCTGCGAGGGCCTCATCCTGGTCGATAGGCTGGCCGCACTGGCCCAGGACGTGCCGAACGTCGGCATCCTTCGGGTTGCCGACCCCTATTTTTCTCCTCGGTGCTATGCCCTCGTCGCTGAGAAGGAGACTCGTGCGCCACAACAAATATAATTCGTGAATCATTTTCTATTATAAGCACATTTCTCCTTTTAAAAATATATTAAATCTTCTATTTTTGCTACATTTCTTCTTCCTTTTGATAAAGGTACGGAATAGGGAGTTGTAACTTATCAAACATTTAATCTGTACTTTCTATGTGTATTTTTTTCCAATCCTAGCTGTGATTAGCCTTAAGCTTAATGTTCGATCTCTTGGCTGTGCAGCCCTATTTCATCTGTGATCTTGTTCTTGTTTTAAGCCAATAAAGACATAAAACCTTCTTCAGATTTGGACGTCTTTTCTATCCTCAAAACTGTACAAAAAGTCTTCTATCAGTAGCGATCCAATTGGAAGATACACAACACTGATCAACCAAGTGTATAACCGCTAAACACTTGTAAGTGTGCAACCACGAGTTGAACCGTCTGGGAGGATGAGGTTTGCATTAAATAAATGCAGGATCACTATTTTGCATACACTTTATTGTTATTTATTACTATTGATTAGATTATATATCACACAGAAGGAGAAAAGACAAGAATATGTATTTACAAGTTGTGCTCTAACCTAGATGCTGTAGATATATGAAAATATACGTATATACATTGTAGGTATAAAACATATAAGCGGAGGAATGAGAAGTTTTATGTACACATTTTCGAAAACTTTTGCACAAATTTCAACGAAAAAAGAGCTCGCAGAGAAAATATAAGTGACAAGCCGCTCCGCACAAGCTTGACTGTCTTTATTGTTTCATGACATCACAAATTCGACCCACATAACACAACCAACAACCCATGTCTTCTATTCTATCAGCAGTCCGCGACCAACGTCACCCATAACAACTACGTTAAGAATAAAGTCACCTCATCACATAGGCGACAGTGCACCAACTACATCGACCTTCCTTCGCAGGGTAGTCAGTCTCCGCCATTCCCGTATCGCAGCCGTTTAAAAACGTAATAAAAATGCACTGAACACGTTTCAAAGCTGTCATTAAGTTCATATTTATATATGCACTAACAAAAGAGGTAAAGCTTGTCTTGTGAAAATCGGCGAAGAGAGATTCACATATTGGATGGACACTGTAATTGTGTTCACTGATGCCCTAAGTTAAGCGCGGTAGCAACTTTGAGATAAAACACTCATTTAAACGTACATTTTTTTGCATAAAATTGTACATGATATGCATGATTAATATCAGACTAACTTCGAGTTTTACTTAAAATGTACATACAAATGAATGAATTCGTTAGCGCCGCATGCGTGTACGCGTTCTTGCGCTTAATTTAGGGCTTCTTGTTACTTATGTTTTACTTATGAAATAATTAGTTCCAGAATGTAGGCCAAGTATTGAATGCATTTTCAGGAGGCACGGCTGGGTGAGCAACAGGCCACTAAGACAAAGCGTCAAGTCAATATAGGCTGATATGGATAGTTACCACGATGCAGTTTATCGTGCATACGAGGGGAACAATAAATATTAAAAATTTTCATAATGCGCAGCTGTAATCTGAAGTGAAGAATTATCAATTAGAGAAGATGCATTATTAATATGGCACAACATTTTCCTCATCAAATTGAAACGGGGAGAAACATTAATATTCAGCTACGAACACATTTAAGCTTCGTTGTCGGTAAGGATTAGAGGCTTATGGTAATTTTTAATTTTACAAGTCAATTTTCTTCCCCTTCAGGGTCTAAGTTATCATTCACATATTTACTCCATAATCACTTTTGAAAGTATACAATTGACATCATCTAACTTTCCTGGTGGAGAATTAGGTACAATTGACATCAACACCTTTAAACTTTCTAAAGGAGAAGAACAACTAATTCAGGCAACAGTTTCATCTCCAGTCGTTTCATTCCGACGTGTCAACAGGAATACTGATAAGACTTAAGTTATTATATTACAAATAATACTAACAGAAAGAAATATTTAACATAATACGTAGTATCCGAGAGGTAATTATGATAATATTACGCTCACTGCATGGACAAACTACCAACTCTCGTCACAGTCATTGTCAAGATATACCCCCGCAGGGGGCTTTGGCAAGCATAACTGGTCAACTCTACTGAATATCAGGTAACGCTCTCCTATTTAGCAACGGATAAACATACCCATCTGCCAGGCCTTGTATCTCTAGATACAGTTGGAAAACGAAAGGAAAAGAGCAGTCTTTTTTTCTTTTCAAAATTTTGAAAGAATACAAGAATTTTGAACTAAACTGGAACCACAAAATGCGAAAATTTTAACAGAATTCTTGATAAAAACGGAGTGCCCTGTTTTCGCTACAAATAAAAGTGTGTGAAGAAAGTCACGCAAATGGAAGTGCGCTAAATAGTCACACAATCAAAACTCCAAATTGGTGCATCTCCAGCGCACTGAAAAGAAATGGTGCTTGTTTGCGAACATTTTGTTGATAACTGTGTGACACGGCCCTTTATCCCACAAAAAAATCTTCTTGAGCCAGCTACCATGCTAAGGCGGTGTCACACGGGTCGCAACAGAATGTTCTTGTGACCAATCGAAGGACAGATTTCTGTTGAGGGTGTTCCAGCTGTCCTTAGCATAGCACAACAGTATTATTTTTCAGTGCGCAAGCAGAACCGTACGTACCAACCAGGAGTATACGTTCGTGGAGAAAGCGTATACTCACTCACTCACTCACTCACTCACTCACTCACTCACTCACTCACTCACTCACTCACTCACTCACTCACTCACTCACTCACCCACTCACTCACTCACCCCACAACTCCCCCCCCCCACACACACTTTTATTTGTACGTATGATATGCTGTTCTTCGAAAGCATGTATTTTAGCATTCGTCACAACTATGGCTCGAGCTGACGATAACGATCTATGTATAGCACGATGCTAACACTACTAACGTTTTTTTTATCGTACTTGAATAGTGTCGTAATATATAAAGAACAACAAGTAATTTCTGCATAAATATGTGTACTTCCTAATAGTCGTGGTTCGAGTTGGCGTCAGAAACTCGGATGGGCTATAGAATTGCCAACAACGCCAGCCGACGAACACGCACGAAAGGATATGTATGAAGAAACGAGAAAAAAATGAAGTCCTCAGAAGCCATTGAAAGCGGACTGGGCATAAAATAAAAGTGAAATTCATCGAGGGAATTCGCTTCGCACCCGGTATAAGTGACTTGTTATTAAAACAGACCCGCTTACGTGCTCGCATGAAAATGGACTGAAAGTAAGGAACAATAGAAAAACAGGTTGTGAAGACAAGGCCTCTCCCATGATCATCACATCTAATCAGTCATGTTCTTCAAACTTATAGGAAGAAGGGAAGAATAGGGACAGTAAAGCGTATAGTTATTTACACGCAACCAAAAGCTTTTCTCTGTCTCCCTGTATTGTGATTCACAAGCCGGTCTATAACTGTTATTGCTGCCGTATGCTTTGCATGAGATAATTACCTGTCCGAGTTCAATCAGTAATCAGTCAACTACGTACTTCTAAGTAATCATTTCGAAACCACCAAAATAGTTCGGACGCACGAGAAACGGGGAAGACATTCTTTCTCGTGGCGAAACAAAGCGGCCCAGCGTTAGTGTCGTGGAGTCCACCGGTGACGTGCGGTTGGCGCCAATACTCGCTACCATCATCGGATAAGAGGCAGGACACTCTCCTAAAATTCTACTAGATTTGACAATACTCTTTTGCTGGCCGGAACCCTGTTCGGCGGTCAAACGGCCCATGACTCTGCTCGTCCACCAGCCCGAGAAAAAGAGAGAAAGGAGACCTTTTTTGGGTGGGCGCCAAAGGAAATTATTGAAAGCCATATCTTCTCACTGATTGGAAGTGAAAGGCCCGGGGACTGTCTCGCGCCGCGGCCGTGCCGCTGGCTCAGTCCGACTTCTTTTTGAGGGCGTTGAGCTCGTCCACCAGCGAGCCCTCGTCAGAGACGACGGGGGCGCTCCGCTTGCTGATGCTGGGCAGCAACGACAGCAGGTCCTGGAACACAGCAAGGGTCACGGGTTCAAATTCAAAGTTTCTCAACCTCGGCACGGAGGGCAAGGCAGAGGAGAGGGTGGGAGGGGCTGAAGATTGTTTCGGGGCCACCGCGGCGCCCGGGGCTGACGCGGGCCGCCCTCCTGTTGCCCGCGTCACAGCGACGCTAATCGATATTTGTCAGAAATAACAACACTAGAAATGATGAGGCCCCGCTCTTTAGCCCACGTCCTGTCACAAGGAAACGCGACGGTACACGACCCGCCGCGTATACAGTGCGTGCGAGCATGCAGTGCGAGCGAGCGCGGCGCCGCTTGCGTGCGTGTGCTGCTATTTCTAGGCAGGCCGAAACAGTCAGCCTGGCCCAACACTCGTCTGTCTGTCTGTCTGTCTGTCTGTCTGTCTGTCTGTCTGTCTGTCTGTCTGTCTGTCTGTCTGTCTGTCTGTCTGTCTGTCTGTCTGTCCTCTCTCGCTCGCTTGCTTTTCCCCTTACCCCTCTCCCACTCCCCTCTAGCTCGTTGAATTTTAAACAGCATCCCAAAGTTATACACGCACCACCGTGCGGGTCAAGGAGTTATCGGCCAGATGTTTTTATATAACAAGTGGTGTGCGTGTGTGCGTGCGTGTGCGTGTGTCTGAGTTTGCGAGTGTGTTGGCGCCCCGCGCCCGGCATGTTTAATGAGGGGCTGTCCCGGACGGCGCCCAGTCCGGCGCCTAAAGAGACCGCCCTCCTCCTCCCCCGCTTCCCCTGGGCCCTGTCATGTCGTCAGCCCTCGCATTTTCCAGCCATTGATTATTGCGGCCAGCAGCTCTCTTGCCATTCTCATTACTCGCTAAACGCCCCTCACTTTTATAGCAATATGGGGCGCCGCCCCGCCGCCGCCGCCGCCGTTCACTTCGCCCGCAACATTACCGGCCTCTTCTTTCCTTCTTTTTAAATAAAACAGAGAAAATGACATGATTTTTTAATACAACTCGGTGCTCGGTGCCCCCCACCCCTCTCCCCGTCTCCGTATCGTCGCCCTCCTTCTGTCCAACCGATGTAGTATGACTTTTCTGTGGCCTCTATCTGTTCGGAGGAACGACCGCCGCGAGGAAACATCCCCTGACGGAGGAATCTGTCAGAAGTGGTCCGACCGGGCCTCCTGCGAGGAGGTCCCCTTTGCCACTGCTGTCGCCGCCACCGCCCACCAACTTTGTGATTGAGCCGACCCTACCTAATGCAAGCTAACGAGGTGACCCTGCCCCGCCCCGCCCCGCCTCGCCTCGCCCCGCCCCGCTTCGCTCCTACCCGACCTAGCCCGACCTGCGGCCACTGCCGCCCTCCCGCGCCCTCCTGTTCTGCCCCAAATTGAATGATCAGGCCCGAGTGCTCCTATAAGGCCCTCACGTAACCGCGTTACCGTCCCACCAAACAACCCCTTCTCGCGCAGTGAAAAAGGAAAAAAATAAAAAATAAATGAAAAAAGTGGTCGTCACGCGGTGACGAAGCGTGCGCAAGGTCCCGCGCTGCGAGATGTGCTTGGGCGTGTGGCGGTGGGGTCGTCCCGTCACGTCACGCCTGTTTGTGCCGTTGCTCCGCCTGCTCCGCCATCACCTGTCAGCCAACCCGATGAGACGAACCATTCCAGCACAAGACAGCAGCGCTGCTGCTGTTGCTGCTGCTGCTCCTGCTGTGCGGGTTCGACTCCCCGCCCACTCTATCCCCCTCCTCCCGCCCTCTCCTCCTCCCTCAACCCCAGCCCAGCCCATCGCAGAGAGCCGAGTCTCGAGTGCCTCTTAATGAAGAGCTAGCAGAGGGGTGGAGGAGCGCGGAGCGGACTGCGGGGGAAGATATGAGAAATCCTGCAAGGCTCGGCGGGGCGGGCCGAACTGGGGCGGGCCGGGCGGGCCAGGCCGGGCCGGGCCGGGGGAATGACGCGCCCCCCTCGAGTGACGCGCGGGGCCCGGCGGCGGCGCTGCGCAGCATATGGCGAGGGCTACACGGGTGTACGCGCCCGCCCCCGCTTGCCCTCGGGCACGGCTCGGCTTTGGCTATCTCGCTTTGTGTCCACTTCCACTTGCCCGTGGCGGACCGTTGGCGCAGAGTGTGGCGTATGTGGTGTGTCCGGGTCCGGCCCGAGGCACGGAGCAGCGGGCAGAGCGCCCGCGAACCGCAGGGTAGGCAGACCCGCTCGGCTCGACAGCTCTCGGTTTGCCTATCCACTGGGCGGGCAGACTGAGAGGCAAGCAAACGGGGGAAAAAAAAGAGAGAGAGAGAGAGAGAGAGAGAGAGAGAGAGAGAGACGGAGACAGTGAGAGAGAGGGGGAGGGCAAGTTGGGGGCGGAGAGGGCGAGTGCTTCCAGCGGTCCCCGGGCCAAAGGGTGGGGTGCAGGCGGGCAGGGCGGCAGGGCCAGCCGACCGAAGGGGTGGGGAGGGCAGCGAGGGGGTCGGAGCGGAGCTATGACGTCAACGCGCCCCGCTTGTGAATGAAGCCCCCGCGCGGGGGCCGAATACGTTTGGAGGGAGGGGGAGACAGCGAGGCCAGGGCCATGCCTCCCAACCAACCCCTCTTCTGTCGTCCCTCTGTTTCCCTCTGTCCTCTTGTTCCTTCCCCCTTGCCTCTCCCTCTGGTCTCCGCACCTCTACCTCTCCCGCGCACCTCCTGCAGAGCACAGCTGTCTGCACGATTTTAACGGCGTGGTGCGCGCCAACGGGTTTCCAGGAATGTAAAGTTACTCCACTGGAATGTAAGTAATTGCAGCCCCCCCCCTCCTCCCAAAGTCTCTGTTTCTCTTTCACTGAGTTTAGAATTTCCTCCCTCGTCAAACTTTGCCTCGCTTTCGGCACGCCAGGTAGCCTGGCCACACACGGAGCAAGGGGAGAGAAGATAAATAAAACGAGGTGGTATCGTATCGACCCGTTGGCCGTTGGTCTCTTAGCAGACTCCCTGAGCTGCTTGTCGCAGCTACACACGCACATAGATCTCCCTCTCCCTCGCCCCGTGTTCGCCCCCCAAGTCCACAGGGTGAGCCGCAGGTATGACGTCTCTCTGCTGGAGCTCAGTGGAAGCCTCGGTGGAAGCCCCGCCCACACCCCTTTTCCATTTGTGGTTGCGCGCAGGGAGTAACTACCGTGTCAAGAGGCTCGTTAAAGGGAGAGCGAGGGAGAGAAACGGAGAGGGCGGAAGAGAGAGAGAGAAAGGGGGGGGGGGCAGTACACCGCCTCTGGGAGCTTTCGTGGTGGGATGCCTGACGCTGGGGTACGAGGGTGGTGGAGGACTCCGTACCCGCAGCAAGTCGAACGGGCTCAAAGTGTTCTCAGAGTCCCATCCGGTCGGCCAGTCCTTTTTCACCCTGCCATGCGTTTCCAGATTTAACTCTCTTCCTTGCCGAGCTCTGCCC